AAATAGCTCTACTTATATTCACATTATATATACATTTTAAAAATAACTCTTTAAACTTAAAACTTTTTGTGTTGCCTTTTCAATTTCTTTTTCAAGACCCTTTCAAGTATATGACATTGTCTATAAACTTTTGTGTTGCCTTTTCAATTCCTTTTTTCAAAAAGGAAGGCACGATTGCAAAAGATTAGTCTAATTCCAACTAAAATTTCCAAAGTATATTAGTGCTAAGAAGCCTAATTAATTAAACCAATCTTCCAAAAAGCAAGATTCATTTAATATAATCCTTTATAATTAAAGTTGGAACAACAAAAAGGTTAGAAATGGGGGCGTGTTTCTCAGATGTAAAAGGCGGTCAACAAGCAATTGGTGGGATGGTTCATGCAAATGATAATGCAAACAATGAAGGAATTAATGAAGCTGTTGATTATTTGTACAAAGCTACTGGTTTTCAGCCCCTTTTTACCCACATTGAGGTCATATCTCTAATCTACATTAATGTTTTTATCAATGCATGGTTTTTTTACCCATTATCTTGGTTAGTAATGTTATTCGCTTTATTATCTATGGTCCGTTTGGTAGACAATAATCAATTTTGGTAAACTATGGGGTTAGAAGAATACGTATTGTTGTCTATCCCTTTAATTTTTAAAAATGTACACCCTTACCTTTAAGGCTTTAAGCTAAAGTGAAGACGAAATCGATTGGGGCTTCGAGTCTGTCAAGGTGGACACAAGCAGGGTCGATGAAAATAATTTATCTACTTTGATAGTTGATGTCTAGCAATTGACTGGTGCTTTAAAACAAGTAATGATGGCTCAATATTTATGAAGGCATACAAGATACAACACAACATAAGTTTTTTTGTGGTGCAAACAACATGACCTAAGCTGTGAAACTTTGATTCTTATTCGGATAGAGTATTTTTAGAATTAAATTATTATTATTTTTCATTGATAGTTGATATCTAGATTAGATTATTGCCAATAACATACATCCTTTGTTTGAAATAGTTTCTTTGTTTTAAAATTGCATTTGGCATAATTTTGTCATATTTTGAAATAGACATTGAGACTATTCCTATAACATTTAGCATAATAATATTTATACTAGTATATGTATACATAAATAAAGGCAAGTCAAAGTTAGCATTGGAATAGTTCACAAAAACAAATTGAAGTGGTAGAAATTATTCTTATACCTTGTCTTAGAACCCTCATGGATGATGAAATAGACAACAGTTAAAGAAGAGCAAAAAACCAGTTACAAAGTTAGAAATTTAAGTCAATGTAAGTCAATTTCTTTACTTCTTTTTTTAAAAGTCAGTTTCATAATAGTTGTACAATTAGCTCATTGCTGATTATGCCGAGTAACGTAAGCATGTGTACGTTATAATATAAGCTTATGTATACGTTAGCATCTATTGAATTTTACTTGCTTTGACCTATTATTTTTCTGCAATGCTACCAAGTACGGAAGACTTTGTTAAGACTTGAAATGTGATTTATGAATATCATGAAATTGTAATTAGTTAATGGTTCGGGTGATGCCCTGTGTAGACTGTAGCTATGTCATTGTTTATAATTTGATCTTAAATGTTCATGGAAAATGATAAATATACCATATGTATAAGAAACCAAATAAGAAAATATGAGTACATCTTATTAAGGATTTTAAACATTAATTATACTGATCCGTGTAATCTTTTGTCAACAAAATTTCACTTTATTTCATTTTAGGTTGTTAATTATATAATGCTTATATATCCCACATCATTAAAATTTGAGATTAATTAATTGAGCATTAAACTTTCGCAATATAAAGTATCACTTTATTTTTCCAATTAAATTGTAGCCATTATGGTTCAAGTTTTGATAATAACGTTTCTTCTTCTTAAATAAGTTCAACTGATGCTCCTTGCATTTTCTAATAAAAGTCTCATTTGTTCAATCTATTCTTATTTGTGAGTGATAAATTCAATTTTTAAAAAAACAACACTAAGGCCTTGTTTGGCAAATGGCAGTTGGCTGGTTCACTTGTCTTATTTGACCAGTTGGAATGTTTGGCTATTTATAATGACTTTTGAAATTGGTTGTTTAAGCTAGTTGTTTATAAAAGTGTTTGGTAAATTAATTGTTGATTGTTGGCTGTTTATTAGATAATATGTGGGCCAACAAGCCAACAAAAAAAGCTACTCAAAGCAGTTTTTTCATTTTGGCTTAAAAGCCAGCTTTTTCGCTTATTAAAAAGCCAATTACCAAACACCTTTTTTGACTGTTTGACCATATAAAAAAGCCAAAAGTTAACCAAACACCTTTTTTGACTGTTTGACCATATAAATATTCCAGAGTATACTTTACAAGAATATAACGAGTATCTACAAATATTTCATAACAGATCGAGAATAGTGAGGTTCCTCATACTATAAAAAGGATAAAAAGGGGGGTTTTTAATTTGGAATTTGGTTGATTTTGTGGTGAAATATGGTTAAGCAAATTTTTGTTTAGAATCATTCATTTACATAATCAATGAAATTTGTCATAATAAGTTGGCTATTTCAATAGCGTATTAGCTATCTTCCTTTCTAGGTAAGATTATATGACTGTAAAAAACTGACCCATTCTTAGCGTGTGCAAAAGAAGTTTGGCTATTTCAGATGTAACAAACTAACAACCTGTTGTCCGAAATAATGCCAAATGGCCAGTGAATTGGTGATAAATATTTACTCCGTATATTATTATATTATATGCAAAAATTATGAAACTCACTCACTAAATTTTAAATCTAATTTGGTGCAATTAGTTGTGGATTTACTTGAAATTATAAGGTCAAATTCTCTCAATTGTAGATACTTAGGCCCTGTTTGATTCACTTTAATTTTGCTGAACTGAAATTATTTTTACTGAACTGAACTTATTTTTACTGAACTGAACTTAATTTTACTGAATTTAAATTATTTTTACTGAACTAAAATTATTTTTTTACTGATTTTCTATTATAATTCTTCTTTAAGAAAACTGAATTTTACTGAACTGAAATTAATTTTACTGAACTGAAATTAATTTTACTAAACTGAACTTATTTTTACTGAACTGAAATTATTTGTTACTTAATATTTTTTTAAGGTGAAAAGAACATGGCCTTAGAGGTGAAGATTTTACTATTTTAGCATCTTACTCAGTTACTCGTAATCTTTTCCCTCACTTCTTAAGTTCTAAGTTACGCATATTGCTCTGTCCGATTCCTTCTTTTTTTTCTTGGGTTATAAATGGAGTATTTATATTACCACCATTTAAGTTAATCACAAAAAAGTTAATCACAAGAGTTATTTTTTATTTTATTTTTTTTTTGTAATCAAATTTACATTCATATACTTCCTCCATTCTTTTTACTTGATCCACTTTGATTTTTACACTATTTATCATTCCTCATTTGACCGTATTTTATGAATAATTTGTAACGAATATCATATTCATGTTGAATCTTTTTTAATTCGTCTTAATAAGTACTGTACTATTGAGTACTGTAATATATATTTATAATTTTTACTTATCGAGAATTAAAGTTATTGATCATTAAAGTTTTGCATTGACAAACGTGATAAAGAAAACAGGTTAAATAAAAAAGAACAAAGAAAATATGACTTTTACTACTGTTACAATAATGGAGTAATAATTCATATATGTATTATGTACTTGTTCTACATGTGAAGTTAACCTAAAATGGAGGTTGGTGTCCTATGAATATAGTTATATAATTAACATGACTTTTGCACTTAAAATAATATTGACTTATGAAGTAAACATATTTATAAGAAGAAGAGAAAAAACTACTCCCTCCGTTTTTAAATACTTGATCCATTTCTCCACGCGCGGAATTTTAGGAGAAATTGGAGAAAGTATTAAAATATAGAGGTAGTGGGGTAGTTGAGAAAATAAAAAATTGTAAAAAGCAAAAGTAGTGGAAGAATAGGAGGAGATAGAGTATTATGTTGGGTCCACTAAGTATGAAAAATGAATTAAATATTGTAAAAGCTTTCAATAAAAGGAAATGAACCAAGTATTTAAAAACGGAGGGAGTAATTAAGTACTTCATCCATATGTTATTTTTTTTATCTTATTTGGCTTTTTATGGTGTTCAAGATATGTTTTTATGGTGTTCAAGATGTGTTCAAGATATGCATAAAAACGATAAAAATTTGATATTAATAAAATATAAGTTTTATTACATACAATTTCCAAAAACAAATTCTAAATATAAGAAGTATTACAATTTTAACAAGATCTCATATACTTTCTCCGTTTTTATTTACTTGCAACACATGGTCTTTTAGAACACATTTTGAGAAAGATATTAGACTACTTTAACGAATAAATTAATTCACGAAATTAAGGGACGAAGGAAGTTCATAATAAAGACTATCTTTTAGGTATCAACTACACGTTATCTTGAAGATAAAGTATTTTGACTAATTCTAAAAATCTTTAATGAAATTTCCATCTCAAGATTTTTATACACATCGTACCTTTAAGCTTTAACTCTCTTACGTGTACGCCACACACACAAAATAAAATAAAAAATAAAAAACCTTTAACCCTTGGAAATTGAGAGATTTTATAACATAGATTGAGTACATAAATTTCCACAAAAACTTTGTAATGAAAAAGCAGCTTTTATTCTTTCTCTGAAATATCATACTCGTATAGGGGTGAAAGTTCGGCATTCGGTTTAGATTACACCCCAAACCGAATCCAAACCGAATTATTTCGGTTTCGGATTTTTGAAACCGAATCCAAACCGAATTTGGATTCAATCCAATCCAATCCAAACCGAAATAATTCGGTTTTGAGAATTAAATCCAATCCAAACCGAATTTTTATGGGCTGCTGTATTGGGCCTTAAAATCTGGGCTTTTTATTGGGCATATAATTTTGGGCCTTTTAAAGGCCTAAATTTTGTACCTGTTCCTGAACAAAATTAAAGCATAAATTTTAACATACAACTTTCACAAGTCACAACCATATGCCATACTGCCATAGTAACTAAATTGTCCAGCCATACTGCCATAGTAATTAAATACACTTACACATTGTCCACATTGAGACATAAGAACTTAACAAGTCTTAAAACTATCAAAACAGTCCACATGATGAATTGATAATAAAACAGACAAACAGTCCACAAATGAACTAGTTCAACCAACAGGGCAGCTTCATTCTTAGGCTCTTGGCAGAAACTTCAAGTCTTCAATCAATAAGGCAGCTTCATTCTTGGCAGCTAACTCTCAATCAAGCTCAACCAAGTCCGGGTTTTGACCACCAATTGTCATATTCCTCAAGTCTAATAACATTAAAAAAAAATAAACAAGTTACATAATATATATGAAATAATGAAAAAAAATAACATGATAATTGTTGTTTTATGTTACCTTCTTCAAGATCTTCAACTTCTTGTAAACACTCTTCTATATTAGGAAAGGGAGAAGAACGTAGCCAATTTTGAGCACAAACAAGTCCTTCAACGACCCTTAGAGTTAAGGAGCTCCTAAATGGGTCTAGAACCCTACCACCAGTGTTGAATGCACTCTCAGAGGCTACTGTTGAGATAGGGACAGCAAGTATATCACGGGCCATTCTTCCAATTGTTGGAAACCTAGCACTATTAAACTTCCACCACCCCAAAATATCAAAATTTTCACATTCCTCCTCCGTTTCCTCTTCTAAATAGTTGTCTAACTCAATTTTTGCTTCTCCATCTTTCTCACACTTATGTTTCTTATACTTACTCTTCAATACCTGAAGCTTCTTTTGTTTGGGAGAAAATTGGGAACTGTCCATACTTGAGGACACTTCCTCCCTAATCACATCACCAGAAGAACCATGATACTCCTCATACAATGCATTCAAAGACTCTTTCAAATTATTCACCAAAACAAATGCATGCTTAGAATCATAAATTTCAATTAACATCCACTCAACATAATCTAACTTATAACGAGGATCAAGCACAACAGCAATAAAAATCAACATGTTCATTTTCTCCGGATCATCCCAATATTTGTCATATTTCTCCTTCATTTTAGTAGCCATAAGACACATCTCCACATCATCATTTGTCATCAAATCTTTCAAAAGGACAGCAACACTCACCAATTCATGGAAAAATAAATTGGAAGTCACATGCAAAGACCCAGAGACACGCAACGTAAGATCATAAAAGACTTGTAAAAATTCAGAAAACCTTCTGACTGTTTCCCAATCCTCAGAAGTAGGGCAGCCCTTCCCCTCCCTCTCATTTAACTCAATCACATAATGAGGGTCCTCCTCAGAGTACCTCTCAAAAGCATACTCAAACACCAAAGCAGCATCCAACATTAAAAAGATGGAATTCCACCTAGTAGACACATCAAGGCACAACAACTTTTTAGAGTTGATTTTTTCTTCCACAACACATTTTTTAAACCTTACCAACCTAGAAGGGGATTGTTTGATGAATCTTACAGCTTGTCTCACACGAGTAATAGACTCATTAACAATTTTCAAGCCATCAGACACAACCAAATTCACAATATGAGCAACACAACGCATATGAAGGAACCGACCCTTAAGAACCCCAGCTTTCCAACCATTTATTTTCCTTCTCATATATCCTATTGCGGTATCATTTCAGCTAGCATTATCAACAGTTATGCAAAATACTTTCTCAAGTTCCCAATCAAGCAAACATTTCTCAATTTCTTTCCCAATTTCCTCCCCCTTATGACTTGATATAGGACAAAAATTCAGAATACGTTTTTGCAAATTCCAGTCATTATCAACAAAGTGAACAGTCAAGCACATGTAATTAATTTGCTGAATAGATGTCCATGTATCGGTTGTTAATGAAACCCTTGAGTTACACTTTTTTAATACCAATTTCAGCTTTCTTTTTGAGTTAAAAAAGTTTCATAACAATCTTTAGCCACAGTAATTCTGGAAGGGACATGAAATCTAGGCTCCATTACATTACAAAATTGTTTAAAGCCTACTCCCTCAACAAACTTAAAAGGCAATTCATCAACTATAACCATCTCAGATAAAGCTTTTCTAATTACAGTTGGATCATATTTCACATAAGACAATCCACTAGTACAACCACTTTCAATTTTATTGCTTTTGAAAGACAACAAACTTTGTTTTGATTCTTTAGGAGTATTATAGGGGTACTTACGGCATCTATTTATATGAGCCCACAATGGACTAGTGCCATTTCTCTTTGTACCACACTTGTATCTCATACCACAGTACTTGCAACGTGCTTCCATTCCAGTGTGTGTTTCTTCCTTGATAAAGTGCTCCCAAACCTCGGAACGATCCTTCATTCTCTTCCTCTTGGGTTTGGATTTTTCATTGTCAGATTCATGCTCCTCAATAGGGACATTCCCTTCAACATTATCCATATTTGTGGACATTCTGATAATCTGATTTAAAACAGAAAAAAGAACTCACTCAATAACCAACAATTTTTATGCAAATCTATGAAAAACAATCAATCTATCAAAAAGAAAACATGCAGTTCGAGCATAATACTATAATAGAACAACATATATTCTGAACTCTGAAGGAATATCAGCAATTCGAGCATAATACAATTCGAGCATAATAACTATTCAAAGAAAACAATCTATCACCAATTCGAAAATAACAAAGAAAACATGCAATTTGAGCAGGAAAAGAGAAGTGCAAGTGAAATATGAAATTCAAAATAACAAAGAAAACATGCAATTCGAGCAGGAAAAGAGAAGTGAAATATGAAATATTGAAATTAAAGCATACCGGAACACTCGAACAGGTGGTCAGCGGCGGCCGGCGTTGGAACACTCGAACGGAACACAGGTGGTAAGTAGGAAAGCAGGAAAGCAGGAAGTAGTGAGGTGGTGGATTGGTGGTGGTGGACGAACGGAGTGAGGTGGTGAGAGGGAGAGATGAGGGAAAATCTAGGGTTTTAGTGAGGGAAAGAGAAACGGCTAACTGAAACTCTGAAAGGGAAAAGGGAAAAGAGGGAAATTATTTAGGGTTTGGGTATATATATGTAGGAAAATGGGCTGAGATAATTGGGCTTATAAATTTCGGTTCGGTGTTCGGTTTTCGGTTTTAAAATCCCAAAACCGAATCCAAACCGATATAATTCGGTTTTCATTTTCTCAAACCGATCCAAACCGAAAACCGAACAAAACCGAACCAAATTGCTTATTCGGTTCGGTTTGGTTCGGTTTTCGGTTTTTATCCAAACTACTTTCACCCCTATACTCGTACTTGCAACATTATTTTTTATTTCGATTCATAAACTTGTATAGGTGTATAGTTGTACACTTGTACTCTGTAATTTACATGTAAAAGTAGTTAGCATTTAATCATGTATTATTATTGTATTAATGTATGCAACTAAGCATGATTATTTGACAAACATAATTAAGAAACCCTCAACAGAAGGCAACGCGTGGTAATTTCATCTATATTTTAATAAAAAAAAAGTCTTAATATAGAATTTATTTTAATTTTTTAAAATTCAGTCTTCTTTATAAATTTTCCAAAACTAACAACTGCAATTTCCGTAAAACTTCCTCGATCACATAATATAAATCCTCCGATACTTTTTTCATGAAAGTTATAAAACCTAGTGAATAACGCTTCTATTTGAGTTGATAGTTGAATACTTATAATTTACCAGAAATTAAAAGGGTTTTTATAATTTGTTGAATAATAATAAATTACGAGTATAAAAATTAAGAAGAGATTGAATGGGAGGTTGTTTTTCGGATGTGAGTGGTGGAATGGCGGCGGTTGGTGGGCCCATGCCAATGGCGGCGGTCGGAGATGGACACAATGATGCAGTCGATTACTTCTACAAACTTAAGGGTTATCAACCTTTGTTTACTCAAATTGAGGTTTGATTTTTATTATCTTTAATTTAATTAATTTTTTAATTAACTTAGTCAAATGAATAAATAATTATAAACCCATTAATTTTTTTACTGTGATTTTAGCTGATATGTATTTTATTTTCTGGGGTACTGTTTCTTGTTGTGGCGGCTGATGAATTTTGTTGTGGGATAATATTGTCAAATTGAAGGGACCCAGTTTGGAGTATACTAGGTTTTCTTGGGTTTGAAAGTTGTAATCTTTATTAGTAATCTTGTTAGGGTTCTTCATACGAAAGTATTTTAATGATTTTATACAAGTATAAAGTTTTTCTTTTTGAAATGTTTGGAATTGACTGTTGGAGGAATGGAATCTGATTTTTAAATTTGGAAGTGGGAATTGGATTATTTTAGCCCACCAAACCTTTGAATTGAATTGAAGGAGTTGAGAACCTATCGAACCCTTTGAGCCCCCATATCTTAAATTGGAGATGAGAATCGAACCCTTTTAACCCCGATATTTTAAATTGGAGATGAGAATCGAACCTTTGAACCCCGATATTTTAAATTGGAGATGAGAATCGAACCACTCGACCCGAGATGGAGACTCGATCATTGGGCTCTGACATGATTCTTTTAGTATGTATGTACGGGGTATTAAAACAACATTGTCTTATGTTATGGATCATATGAATCAATCTTTTTATTGAATTTGAACTTTTGGACCTTTGGATAAATTTATTGTCCTGTGGATAAACACACATGAAAAAGAAAGGATTTTTTTGGTTAAACCAAGCAAGCAAACAAAAGGAAACCCTCATGTCAAAATCAATGTCTTCTATGTATGGGAGCTCGTTGAACAGAGTATCTTGATGAAGATTATTGAGAATAAAATAAACTATGCTGTTGATGTGACATGTAAAAACCTAGGTGTAATATGCACATCAGATCTCACAGTATGGATAGCTTTCAAAGCAGCCATCTTCATGACACTTAATAGTCAAGGGCATGAACTGTGGCAATTTGTTACATGTTTAGGCATTCAAGCTCCTGTAATTTGTTCTACATACAATCCATGAACTTGGAGGTCATTTTCAGATAATTATTTCCAACTTTCCATAGCATAAGAGTATATTCAAAATGTTATATTCTATTTATCAGAGACTAGTCAATGGCGAATGTTGTTTTCGTGTCATGAAGGAAAGAAAGGATCAATTCATGGTGGTCTATCTTTTATTTTGATTTTATTTTTGTATTCCAACTAATTAACTTGGTAGGCTGGCTATGCTATCAACCTGGCAGTTGTGGTGTAAAGTTTCATTATTTGTTTTGGTGATGTGGAACTTATTAAGCACTTGGGTGTGTCAATCACTTAATCGTGTATAAAGAATTCAAATATAGAAGACCTTGTTTATGGTCAATGTAAATTTATTGTATGATTTCATATTATGGAGTAAACAGGAATATTATTCCCTTGCTAACACTTGTAGGAGGAAACAAACAAAACTATAGTACACTTGTTGGAGGAAAAAAACATACAAAACATATTATTCCCTTGCTAACACTTGTAGGAGGAAAAAAACCTAAGACCCCATCCACCCCTTTTTTCTCCTACTCTACTATAGTATGTTTTGCATGGCCACATTTGTAGGATTATCTAAGGGTTTTTTTTTTTTTTTTTTTTTTTTTTTTTTTTTTGTTATTATTATTTTTTAAAATTTTTAAAATCATTTTTATATATATAGTGGAAAGGATCATCTTAATTTATTAAAAGGAGTTGCACTATGTTGAGATTCCCATGAACATTTGTGCATCTATGCATAGAGCACAAATAATAGTAAGTGGTACTCATAGCTTATTAAATTAACTTGTTTATTTTGTAAGGGTATCTCTTATAAGACGTAACTGTTATAAATAAAATGTTATACTGAAGCTTTAAATTTACATATTCTTTGTTTCAATAATGTTTTATCTGCTTGTTGTTCATTGGATCTTGAAAATAATTAAAATGGAGTTGTTAGCTCTCACATCTTACTAGATAGGTGTATGAGAGAGCTTCCCATGCTATAAAGTTGTATGGTTTTTGATAGCTGCTGGGTATGAAATTCTTATAGAAGGGCAATGCAATTGGAATATAATTTCATTATAGTATTGATGTGCCTGTTAAAGTAGTTTGATGCGTTTATGTATTTTTGTTGGTCAGAAATAAGTCAAATAACTCTTTCAAGATTTTAGATAGGAAAAAAAGAGGTTCAATATGGTATTAAGTCTAACTCAGTCGGCTGTATGAAAGGAATTCACAGGCTTGGTTGATTGAGGAAGGGTTCTTAAAACCATAAATCTTGAGCTGGGACTGTATAATTTCCTTAATGCATGGCTTTAGGAGTCCAAGCTAGCTACTTTCTGCTAGTTTAGGTTTAGCAAGAGGCTTAATTTAGCATTTTCGGCATCTTGGTGAAATTTCGAGCAACCTAAAATTGCAAACAATGACATTTGAACTTGCCTTTTCTTTTGCTTTGAATTTCTGGGTTAACCCATGCAACAAGGGCATAAGCAACTAGGCCTAAGTTATAGGGAGGTAAAATTTTCTGAGTTAAATATGAAAACATGTTGGAACAACATGGCATGAATAATTTTAAGAAAACTTTCACATTCACAACAAGAATCAGAGAAGATTAATGAAGTAAATACATATTTAATTTTTTATGAAAAGTTTGTTTTATTGCGGTTCCCGTGTTTGTTATTATTGTTCATGCTCCATTTTTTTTGTAGTAAAAGGTTATGCTCTTCCACTTTTTTCTACTCTATTCTCTCTAATTGTAGATATGCCCATCCTCTCTCCCCCCCCCCCCTTTTCTCTTCTAAGTTTGTTTTTAGGAGATACCTAACTTGCTTCTTGCACATCATCCTCTTCATAATTTCATACATTTAAAATTGTAAAATATGGGATAGCCGCAAGACCAATTTCTCAGTGTACCATGGTGCTGTGACCCTTGTGCGGTATGTACTTTGAGGTAGTAAGACAATTTGTGTTGTAATTGGGAGAATAGTAAAAAGAGTATAATGGAAATGTTCATGAGTAAAGTTCTACAAACATTACTTGAAAGATGTTATGTACAATTAGAACTACATTTGCAAATTGTTTTGATCTATGATGAGCCATGTTTCTGTCTTCATCTTGTGCAAATATTTAACCTCCTTTGTGGATTAATTATTTGATTTTCATGGCCTTAGCTAGATGCCTAGATGTAGAATCCTTGTTTTCATGTAGAATTTTGATAGTTTGCTGGTGTTCTAGGTCTTCTTTGAGGACTAAACATGCTGCTCTTTTGTTCTGCAGTTATCCCTGTCTGCTTCAAAGCTACTTGATCGTGATATCGTTTCAAAGGTACACTTTCCCATATTAATTGGCAGTAGTCAGAGCCTATGTCACATTTAATTTGATTTAAGCTGAATGAACAGCTTGATAGTGAGCGGTTGGTGTTGGGTTGCTAGTTGCATTTCTGCATAAGTGCGTATGCAATTGTTATTTTGAAGTTGCTGAGCTATCTTGATACTTCAGCTTGTCACCTTGTTCATTAACAGAAACAATTATTATGGCAATCATTGAAACAGTGCAAATTGCACCAGTAGATTTCTAAAATTAATTGCATTAAAGAGCTTACCATGGGGAAAGAAATAACGTTTTTCATTGCTTGATACTCTTAACTGATAATTCGTAGATATGACACCAAATTATATATATATCACCTTCTTAAAATCACTCACATAAACGATTTGGCTCAATGCAGAGTGATCCAATGGCTGTAATTTACATGAAGAAGCGGGATGGAACTCTTGAGGAAATTGGTCGTACAGAGGTTATCTCAAACAATTTGAATCCTGTCTGGATTGGGAAAATACCTATTGCCTACCATTTTGAGACTGTTCAGCCACTGGTGTAAGCACCTTTCTTTTGAGTTTTGACATTAAACAAGCTCTTATAAAAGTACTTAATCATAATTCATTCACCAGTAGGACCTCAGACAACTTTAGTCTGATCCATTTATATATTGTTCTTTGTTACTAACAGGTTTCATGTATATGATGTTGATACAAGATATCACAATTTACCTGTGAAGGTATAGTTTTTTGCTTCATGTCTCTGACTCTGCTATTTTTTTTTAAGTTACATGTTTCTGCCTTCAGGTTCTCATTAGACAAATTGCAATTATTTGTTTCAGTCACTCAGGCTACAGGATCAGGATTTTCTTGGAGAAGCAAATTGTGTCCTATCAGAGGTACTTTAGTTGGATCTTAGAAGCTGAGTTACTTGCACACTATTTTTTTTGTGCATCATACATGAGCGTTGCAAATTGGTTATTAGAGGTTGAGTATCTATGTAAGATGTGTTATAATGTTTGCTTATTTTATATCCTCTTTGGCAGATATTTACCAAACGTGATAAGACTTTGACTCTAAAGCTGAACAACAAAATTAAGAAAACTGCAGGCATTTTAAATGTTCATGCAGAAGAGAGTGTTGCATCAAAAAGTGCTGCAGAGATTGTATTCCGTTGCACGAATCTGGATAACAAGGATTTGTTGTCTAAAAGTGTATGTAAACTTTGTGTCGCTTTGATGGTTGATTTTTTTGGTTTTTACTTGTGTTTTTTGTTGTCACTAACCCTCACCCCTTGCTTATAGGATCCTTTTCTGCGTATATCTCGGAAAGTTGAGACTGGAAATGCTGTTCCAATCTGCAAGACAGAGGTTGTTAACAACAACCTAAATCCTGTATGGAGACCACTTTATCTGAACACACAACATTTTGTAAGCAAGGTAAGCTTATCTCCTTCTATTCTATGCTTATGTAATTCACAGGAGCAAATTATGTGGCGTAAAAGGAGTTGATGTTGCTAGATATAATTAATATTCTTGTGTCTCATTTATTAATTCTGTTGCAGGATAACCCTTTGATTATCGAGTGTTTTGATTTTAACAGCAATGGAAATCATACTTTTATTGGGTAATTATCCTTACTATTTTCTGTATCTCCTTTCTTCCGTACTTTCCTTTGCTTTTGTGGCCTATTTGTGATGGATTACTAAGAAAAGTATACACTTTGAACAGCAAACTTCAAACATCAGTAGCAGCCTTAGAAAATCTGCAAAAAGAAAAGACTGGTATCAACTTTGTCAAGCCACACAACGGTCGTGAAAAGGTGCTTTGTAATGAGCAATAATTGGATTCCATGGACTCTACCCCCTTTTTTGTATCTTCTAATTATTTAAATCTATGGGTGATGATCATGTAGGTTCTTAAGGGTCGGTTATTTGTAGATACATATCGTGAAAAGCAGCTGTACAGCTTTCTAGATTACATTTCTAGTGGTTTTGAGCTCAACTTCATGGTTGCTGTTGATTTTACTGGTACGTAAATTCCATTGATGCTTTATAGGTGCATAAGTCATTGATTTTAACTCTACAATCCTTGTGGTTATGCTCTTCTTTGTATTTGTACAGCTTCAAATGGAAATCCTAGAAGCCCTGAGTCCTTGCACTACATTGATCCCTCTGGCCGATTGAACGCTTATCAGCAAGTAAGGCTTCATTGTTCTAGATCTGAGTTTTATTAAAACCTAAAATCTCATGGAAATAATGTAGTCGTGATACACTGAACACACTTTCTTATCTTGACTTGAGCCTAGTACTAGTTACTATAGACCTTATTCACCATTGGATTTCTTTCAGGCTATAATGGAGGTTGGGGAGGTTTTACAGTTTTACGATTCAGACAGACGTTACTCTGCATGGGGTTTTGGAGGAAAGACAATGGATGGCAGTGTCTCCCATTGCTTTAACTTGAGTCCAAGCTCGTACAATAGTGAGGTAATATGATGCATCCATCTTACTCCTCCTCTCTCCCTGACTCTACCCTTCTTCTTTTGCTGTCATTTTTTTAGCAGCTTATTCACATAGATTGAGATGCAGAGTCATGCATTAAACAATTTAAATATCCATATTGACCATCATCTTTCCATATGTTAATCTTACTATGGTTTAAGATTTGATTATGTACTCACTATTTAGTAATCAGTATTCACCATTTTGAAGTAAAAGGAGTAAAGATAAAAACTTGAGACTGAACTTCGGCACTACAATTTTATCTGTATTTCCAACTCTTGCTCTTCTAGATTCATAGCAATGATGTTTAAGGTGTTATAATCAAAGAAATTTTTCCATATGATCATAATTTACTAAGTTTTGTGTTTTTATTCTTTTTTTTTTTTAATCCTGATTTTGTGATAAATATATGGTGAATGGGCCTTAGCTTGAAGCAAAACTTGGTCTAGAAGTTTTTTTCTTCAACTAAGATGTGAATTTAAATGTATCTTGACATCTCATGCAGGTTGAAGGAGTTGAAGGAATTATGGCCGCTTATAATTCTGCTCTTCAAACCGTTGCACTTTCCGGACCTACTTTATTTGGTAAAGTAGTTCACAGAGCTGCAGAAATCGCTGGCCAGTCCCTCGAACAGACTAAGAGCAAGTATTATGTACTGTTAATCATCACGGTAAGTACGTCTTATAAGATTGCAGTTGTGTTCTATTACGCTGTCTGTCATTAATTTTAATCGCATTGCTCTGCTGTTTTTCTTTCAGGATGGAGTTCTCTCAGATTCCCAAGAAAGTATAGATGCGTTGGTGAGGGCATCTGACTTACCGTTATCCGTCCTTATTGTCGGGGTGGGTGGTGCTGATTTTACACAGATGGAGGTAAGCTATTGTAATTAGCAAAAATATTCTCATTGTTGCATGCACTTGACGAGGTGTGTGGGCAGGATGATACAGGATTGTTATACTGATGCCTTGAGACTTATGTAAAGTGTGTAACTGTGGATGAACATCTGATGTGAAGTGGGGATGGAGGGTGTATGATAACGAAAGCTTTGTTTTTCTGAGTGTTTGGCCTTGAATCATTACATGGTAACTTAAATTGATATTTACATCGTAACAGATACTTGATGCTGATAAAGGGCATCGGTTGGAGAGCTCTACAGGTCGTATAGCAACTCGAGACATTGTTCAATTTGTTCCAATGCGTGATGTTCAAGGTTTGTTATAATCTTATTCACATTGAACAGATTTGTAATCTTTGTATTTTCACCATTTCGCTTTATGTATAATTGTATATCAAAATAACTTTCTAAGTTCACTAATTTAATTTAATATGGTTGTGTTGTTTTCTCGTGTGCAGCAGGGCAAAAACCCATGGTTGAAGCGCTCTTGGAAGAGTTACCCGGGCAATTTCTGTCTTACATGCGTAGTAGAGACATCAAGCCATTAATGTGAACATTGTAAAGACGTTCCCTCAAGTGCCCATTTTATCGACCATGCCATTTAGCTTCAAACAAAGATGATGTTTGCTGGATTAGTTTAATGATGGGTAACAAGTACATTTATATGGGCATAGGCTTTGGTAGTTTTTGCAGGGTGCAAACTGTATATATATAAATATCTGCTTAGGTTTTTAGTGGTTGTTACTCGTTTGAGCCTTCGAGGTATTCATTGGTTTGTTGATGAGATGGTGATAGAGAATATTCTACATACAATCTCTACCATTTGGTCATTGGTTTGTTTATGGGAGGTGTTAGTTTCATAATTCCTTTATTCTTTGATACCTACTGTATATTACGAAGTATTGTCTCTAATATAAGATGCTTGAATTTTTCCTACTATATGGCCAGTTTGATTTGAGACTTTGAGCAATTAATTGCAAATTTTGGTCAATATACCTATTTTTGCAAAGCCATCTATTTTGTCTTGCCTCAAAAGCTTACTCATGATATTTTCATTAACTCTTAGGTTAGAACTAAAAAATGTATGCTCCTCACATTTGTTCAAGTATTATACACCTACGTTAAAATATTTATATTCTCTCCGTTTCATAATGTTAGTCTTATATGAAATCAATCACATAAAACAAGAAAATAAATATATTTGGAATCTAACATTAAAGTACAACATAATTCATAATTAGGTTACCTTAACTTTTTTAATTTTTTATTGGAAAATGCTATACATAGCCCTTAAGGCTACATATAAGCATTTAATTTACTCTTGAAAATTGTTAAAAATTTAGAAATTCATGACAAAAATACACTAATTACACCGATTTGCGCGTGTTTTTTGTCATGAATTCCTAACTTTATACATTTTTCAAGAGTAAATTTAATGCTTAAGTATAGCCCTAAGGGCTATGTATAGCATTACCCTTTTTTATTAGGAAATCACAAGTCATAATTGCATAATGGGGTTGAACATTATGAAACAGATGGAGTACTAATTTTTATTTTATTTTTTTGAAAAAGAAAGTAGACCATTTTAAATTTGTAATCTTCCATTTTTATATGCTAGAAAGTAGAAATCCTTACAGAACCTTCATGTATTGACCAATTTAGTTTCGTTAAAGGACCCCAACAATCTTTCAAGATGATGAAGCCGGAGGCTTGAGGTATTAACAAGCTGGTGTTTCAACGCAGTACCGTATCTTTCATGTGAAACAATAGTTGATTAAACTTACAACACTATGCTTTAGGCAAAATTCGAAGACATCCAAAGTGGATAACATACATTGTTTTCATCATACTTGCTCAAACATAATCCATACATCAAAAACATCTGCAATATCAGAACATTTCTGCTATACATTTTAATACAAAGGCAGGCTGATCTGAATTATTGTTTCAAATGATGTCTATAACGATCTTTGTCCCTAGCCGAGTAAGCATGGTAATCACGATCTCGATCTGCAACAAAACGGGGGTAAAAAATCACTATCAACTTTGACACATGAACCACATCCTCTGGAAGAAAAAAAAAAACAAAAAAAAACTGCTCACTCACGTTCCATATAAGTAGAATTTGAGGTAATACCTCGAGAAGAATGATGCCTTGATCTATCCGAATGACCTCCTGAATTGACAAAGAAGACGAACAGAATCAAGAAAGAAATATCAGGACCCAGCTAACAAAATGAAATAGTTAAAATTGATGATCACAAGCAACTGTTAAAGAATCAAGCTAGGAAAACACTGACCTAAATCCTTAGCTTTATCCCGGGATCGGTGACTTCTTTCTTTCACTATCTCCCGTTCAATATCATCTCGGTCTCTTTCCCTGTCAGAATCTCTTCCCCTCTCACGATCCCGGGACTTCTGTCTATCCCTGTTCCTGTCTCTTTCTCTATCCCTGTCCCTAATCCTGTCTTTCTCTCTATCCCTATCCCTATCTCTGTCCCTTTCTGACTCCCTGTTTCGTTCTGCACTAGATTCTGTTCTGAGTTCAGGCTTCGACTTGACCATGACGTCCTCTCTTCCTTCACCATCATTTTCCGTGTCCTTGGACTCGTCATCACTTCTCTTAGAATCTTGTATCTTGTCAAGTGCCTGTTTTACAAGTGCATCTCTGGATCCCCAGTATCAACACTAGCTGCAGCACCTGAAGCCGTCTTTGTCACACCAGTATCAGCACTAGCCACTGGTGTATTCAGGGAACCTTCCTGGAATAAAGCGGAAACTATCAGAAAAGACACGGCAACTTAAACTAGGCATAACTATAGTATAGCAATTAAAGTTAACAAAAATGAATGAGTGCTAGACGCAGTCTAATAAACATTGCTAGACCTAATAGTAGGGCCAGTGTGCTAAAATGACAGACGGGTGATGCTTACTTTGGGCACTGCAGTATTCTGTGAATCCCAAGACTTGTTGGATGATGTGAAGGAAACTGACTCCTTACAGACAGGTATATACTTGGCCTTTGGACGACTATACAGATGAGCTAGAACTCTACAGACTTCATCTATACCAGATTTATCTGCATCGAAGACCTTCCACCATGGTGGATTCTCAGGAAGGGGAACTCCAAACCTTCTCGCAGCAGCATACACAACTCCACAAGCGACCACCTCACTTTTAAATCGAACACATAGAGTAGTCCGCAAACTGAGATAAAACACAAATGCAGAGTTAAGCAATGATATATAAAGCGAAGAACTCAGCTATTACAAAGACTACCTAGTCAAACATATATACTTTTTAGTACACACATTATTTGATTAATATAGTCTCTAAGACAAGTCTAAGCCCTCATAGTGGCCCTTAGTCACAAAAGAAAAAAAAATAGAGATATCATAAAATGCTGCAGACTGCGGAAGACAGATAGACAGACAAGGAGAGAGTCTGGTCAACCTCGTGAACATAGTCTAACTACAATAGCTAGTGGCAGTAGGAGACTAGATGGAAATAGAACTAACGGCATATTGTGGCAGAAAGCCAGTAACGTACAAATACTCGCAATGGTGATTTTGTATTTGTAGATATATGATGCCTTAAGCATGCGGTAGTAATCAATTTAAATATTTCCATTGGTTAATATTTGATGAATTAAAATTTTAACATGCCGGCCTATTAAAGCTCCATTCATGCCAAAGAATTTAGCAATCACCAACAGTCCTCAACGGTTCATTACACCATTACCTTATGACTCAACTACAATACTACAAATAAGATAGAATATGCCAGCATTAAACATCCTGGATTCTTATGCATAATCTGACATGATCTGGTCCATTAATTTATTTAAGATAACAATTTTAAATAATATCACTCAGTGCAGAACTGTAGGGAAAGGGGCTTAAAGGCTTCTCTGGTACAAGGGATTAATAATAATATCAATTACATGGGGCAAATTTTCCAGCTATAAGTGCAGGAATCATTTACACTCTACTCACTTGCATTTATTTTCCTAAGGCACGCTATGGAAAGTTCTAGTGTATGACAAGGCAAAAGGCGCAGTAAAAAGGGTCGTAGAACCTAGCCAAAATCTGTAGGAGTTAAGAGGCAAGGCACATCATCAAAGTAAGACACTACTCTTAAAAAACATAACAAGTATTAACTGCGTAAAACAGATTGCAAACATGAATTTAAAGCATCCAGTCTTTCAATTAGAGTCTTAGCTTCGCCTTGCCTAAGCTTTTGTAAGCGTTTGGGCAACAGCAACTAGGCACATTATAGGCATGCCTGATTAAATGGACAGTCCTACAGATGTAAATGAGGTGAGTAATGTGGTTGAAATTATACAGCTTAAGTTTCACTAAGCATCATAAATTTCATCAAAATTCTTATTCCCATTCATCATTCATTCCATGTTGCCAAAGAAAAACACTTAAGCAAGTTAAAATAGTCAAGCCCAGTCCGGCATAGACAAGACTTCATACCCTGCAATTTCCTCTATTCAACGAGCGTACGTTCAAGCCAAGGCCCATTTCCTTTATCTATATTATTTTCCTGTCCTTCAAACCAGTTGGCAGAAATTGAGTTCCAGGTTAAGGGAAGATTCATTCTAAAGGTAGGAAATGGTTAGTATTGGGCATTTGGGACAACTGTCCTCTTAATCCCTAAATCAAGGGAAAAATTGTTAGTTATACCAGAGAATTGTTAGTTATACCGGAGTATACTTTATACCACAATTGGATGATGTGGCCAAAAAACCTTACCCTGAAAAAAAAAAAAAAAAAAAAAAAAAAAAAAAAAAAAAGAACTTAGAGTTTTGAACTCTTACGGACCCCTTCAGAAATCAATCAAGGATTGCCATTGATAGTTGTCACTACGCTGAGTTCTGCAATCATAGTAGCAGGTTCTTTTGCCTCTAAGACTCCTAGGAAGCAAAGTATAGTGGCGTGCATAGGATTGTGAGGCAACTAGCAATAACTTCTATCCCTCCAGTTAGACCATCTGTCTTTCCCAATCAGCTAACATTTCCTGCCCTACTTCCAAAAAATCTGCCAGGCACTTGGCCTTGATTTTAACATGAAACACCGCAATAATCACTGTTACTCATCTAGACAGATGACCAGAGAACTGTCTTTAATCGCATTACAGAACATAGACAAACAAGGCAACAAATTATTTTCAGTCTCAAGACAGCTTGAGGGTGTTACTATAGAGTGAGAGCATGAAGAAGTGATATTCCTAAACCCGTACTGGGTCATAGTGCCATACTATTTGACATATTAGAGTTTGTTAAGATTGATTTTTTTTATTATTCACTAGTTCACAGAGAGGGATGTCGTAGGCCATAGGATATAGCTAAGTATGATATAAAAAGGATCATTCAGTTGGTTGGGCAAGAGGATGTGTTTTTAATGTGCTTGTGATCTAGCCAAAAAAAAAAAAAAAAAAAAAAAAAAAAAAAAAAAAAAAAAGCCATTTGAAGAAAGAAAAACAACAAAAAAGTTCCCTCTCGCCGTGTATATATGTACTATTGTAGTTTCACACTTTCACTAGTTTGATGCGAAGACTGAAGAAAAGAGGCAACAGTACTCCGAGAGTAGGAAAATAAAATAATTTTAAAAGGCAGATAATTTAATCAAATTTTAAATTTTACAGTGCATAGAGGAGTGAGCAGAATTTAGTCAAGATTATTGCTGTATTGCATAATTGTGTACACAGCTATACAGTTTTTTCAGCTGCTGATATTTTTAACTTCTCCTATTGGCTCTCTACTTCCCTTGTTGCCTTATAGTAGAGTAGAAACAATGAAAATATAAGATAATAAATTGTTATGAGATTTTGAAATACTTGGGTGATTTTATTTGGTAAAAATACTATAATAGTTCTAACTGTTCATATGTTTTGCTATACACCGGGTATTGTGTTTCTCCATTTCCTAGTCTCCATGTTTTTGTATACTGTTACTATTATCCT